ATATACTCACTTTAGGAAGAACATTTGTAATCAGCTACCTTTTATTGACTATTTACTGCTTGTCAGGCCCCGTGTTAAGTGCTTTATATTTACTATCTAATGTAACATATTTAGCATGCAACTGAGTAGGAACTTACCCTTAAGGGATGGGTTCTAATTATGGATGGGGCAATCGAGGCTTAGAAAGATGGAGGGACTTGCCGAGGCCCCCACAGGGAGCAGGTAGCGGTGTCAGAATTTGAACTCCACCAACAGATGAAGAGTCAGGCCTGAGATACAGCCACGGACACATTCCGTTCAATGCAGCACACAGGGCCTGAGCGCCTTCTCTGTGCTCAGCCCCAGGCTAGATGCTGGGCTGCACAGCCAGGTGGAAGGTGCTGCAGGGCTCACTGGCAGGTGATGCAAACGGCTACAACACAGAGCAGTAGGATCCAAGCGGACGACATAGGACATGCGTGACTTGGGGGATCCAAAGGAAGTGCAGTCAAGGAAGGCTTTCCCGGGAGAAGTGTGACTTGCACTGGCCTGGGGTGTAGGGGGAATGGGGACAGGTAGCAACGGGGTGAGGCAGGCAGGGACACTCTACAGGGGGAGGGATTGCGTAAGCGAGGGCTAGAGCTGGGGCCCTGTGGGGAGCGTTGGAAGAGAGCGCCAGGTTCACGACCTCCTTTTATTTGAGAATGTCAGCTATCGTCCCTTCTGTTATGACAGAGATAGGCGAGCTCCTTGGAGCCTTTGCATTGTAACTTTGAGGAAGGAAAAAACTCAGGGAACCCCCTATTCTGTGCCTGGAACTATGCTGAGTGTTTTACACACAATTATCTTAATATGTATAACTCTCAATCATATTACAAAAATAATACTTTTATTTTAAAAGTATATGATGTAACAAAAGGAACAAATTAAATCACCCACAATGCTATTGTTTAGCGATAACCACAGCAAATATTTTGTGTATAATCTGAGCTATGGGCGCGGGGGGAGGGGCATCCAGAGTCGTTTCATTTACATAAACTCAGGTCTGTGTGAAAGGGGCTTATTAGATGCTCCTCTCTTATTACTCAGGAAATTCCAAGGGTTTTGGGAGCTCTGTTTCAGGAACCAGGATGAAGACCAAGTATATATCTATGTATCTGATTAGATCCCAACTTCACACCCCATGCTATGATGCTCCAAGGGGTGAGAAATATGTTTGTTATTTAATGGCCACAATAACACGCCCAATGCTGTACTTCAGCTAGTATTATTATTATCATGATGGCTCTTAATTTACAAATGCAGAAACTGGGACTCTGAGGGGCTCCTTCACTGCCCCGGACACGCTGGGCAGCAGGCTGGGGAGGGCTGGCCCCCTGGGTGGGGACAGAGGCAGGAGCCAGTGCCAGGCCTGATTGCCTCAGCTGCTTGGCTTATTTTCCTGGGTTGGGAGGGAGAGAGACTGAGGTCCAGGGAGCAGCAGGTCTTCCCTGGCACCTGGATCGGGTGGTCTGGGGCTCTGGGCTCCCACAGCCCTCTGGAAGGAGTGAGCATTAGCTTTGTGGTGGATGATAGACTGGCTTGTGGCACACACACAAAAGTACCAACCCAAAAGCAATTTGAGAAGAGGAAAGAGTTCATTTGCAACCAGTGATACCCCCTCCCCACAAAAAGAAACCCCAAACCAGGCTTGCTGAGAGCATGGAACATTTTTGTGGGCACTTCTGCTCTCTCTATAAATGCAGAGATGGTTTTACAGATGGGAAGCAGGAGTCTTTCTGGCTGCTACTCCACTGTCCCCTCTGGTGCCATCCTCCGCAGTGTCCAGGTGGGGGCGCTTCCCACCTCCTGAGCTCCCCCTGACCTGCTCTTGAGAGTGGTCTGGGGAAGGGGCCCAAGTCCAGGGCGCCCTGACGGGAGTCATTAGAATCTGCACTCGACTGAACTAAGGAGAAAACAATCACACGTTTCCCTTGGCTGGGAAGAAAGAGCCAGAAAAAGTACTGTAGACAGTCATAAACCTCGCTGGTCCATAAATGGAGTGGTTAAATGATCTCATCAGTTATTCCACAGGCAAGCTCTGCGACTACTTCAGGACAGAGCTGGGGCTGGCCCGAACTCAGGATAATCAGGGTCGCGGATGCTGCTGAGTATACACTGGGCCTGGCTCTCGGTTTGGAGCTTTCATTTTCTCATCCGGCCCTCAGAACAACCCCACGAGGAAGGCAATATTGAAGCTCATTGTGTTGAAGATGAGGAAATTAGAAAGCTTAGGTAATGCAGTCAAGGCCACACAGCTAAAAAGGGGTGGAGATAAGATTTGAACTCAGGCTGTCTGACTCTAGAGCACAAACTCTTAGCCATTCTAGAGTGATGCCAGATTGATCAGGTAGTGATCAGCTGGAAATTATCGGTGTTCCACACCCTCACCGTAAGTACCACCCCCTCCTTCCTCCCACCCCGGTAGATTGGAGCAAGAGGGATCTTGCCCTCATCGGTAGGGGCCCTGATGTGGCCCTTCTCCCACCACAGCACCCCAAGGGGTGAGAAGTTTGCAAGACCAAAGGGACACGCCCGTCAGAGGCTATGTCCCATTTTATTATTTTATTTTTTTATCTTCACCTGATGATATGTTTTATTGATTTTAGAGAGAGAGGAAGGGAGAGAGAAAGAGAGAAACATAGGTGTGAGAAATGCTGATCGGTTGCTTCCTATACACACCCCCCCAAGGATTGAACCTCCAACCTAGGTGTGTGCCCTGACCAGAGATCAAACCTGCAACCTTTTGGTGTTCAGGGCTTCACTCTAATGAACTGAGCCACCCAGCCAGGGCTGTGTCCCGTTTGAAACCAAGCTTTAAGTACTCAGGACCCAAGGCTTCTGTCGATTGTTTCCCCAGGTCCATCTTCCTTAAGCCAAACATTTCACAGAAGTGCATATGAGGTCTCTACTCACGGTACTGGAGAGTCAGCAAGGCACTGAAGGTGACAGACAGTTGGCGAGGTCCCTTGTGTATGTTCACTATGGGTCCTGTAAGTGTGAGGAGTGGGCCTGCCTACCCCCACCCACCCCACTGCCTTGGTATGGACGCCACATCAAGGGTGTCCCGGCAAGCGCCTTGCTTAGAACTCAGGCCATTAGGACTGATCCTGGGCTCTTACTTCTTAGCTATGTGCCCTTGGACCTGTCCCTGCGGCTCTGGGACCTCTGGTTCCCCTGTCCCGGGTCCTTCTAGATTTGCTCTCGATATCAAGATATATGTGTGGAAGCTTTGGGGACTGACAGGTGAGAGCAGCCCCCTCGGCTCTGCTCCCCACATCAGAAACGTTCCCCTTCCCTTCCCTCACCCACTTCTGCCTGAGCCAAAGCTGATTTGTCTACATTTGATATTCTGTGTGACTGATGTCATCATTTTGATTCAAATCCTGAATCTCAAGTTACTGCCTTTGTTGGAAAATTCTAACAGTGACAGTGGAGTAGAAGTTAGAGGCACAGACCAGGGGAAGAGGGGGAGCCGCCTCAGGCTGGCTCAGTAGGTGGGACACAGGATCCCCAGGCAGTTTAAGCTCTCTTTTCACCTGCACCTCCGGCTTGGCCCCAGCTTTTCTGAAGGGATGGTGGGGATTGAACCATTCCAGGGATGGACAGGTGTGCTTCCCCGGCTGCTCTTCTCAGCTCTGGAGGGTTCAGTTTCACCAGCACTAACTGAGCGCATCGTAAGTCAATACTGTGCTGGGCACTGAGTGTAGACAGGGCAGGACGACCAACTTCTTGTGAAAAGAGCAGCCGTGGGAATCCTTCATTTCAGAGGACTGTGCTAGGCACTAAAGTAGAGCCTTGTTTCACCAGGGGCCTCGTTTCTGGGCAGGGAAGGCGTCTGTCAGGATCTCTGGGACTTTTGTGTAGGATCAGCAGCTGTGCATGCATCAGAGGAGCCTCAAGGGAGGTGTGCGCTTTCCTGGGGAGAAATTGTTCCTTCTTTATTGATTTGGCTGAGAAGTTCCTGGAAAAACTGAGTTATTAAGTGTCTGAATGGGAGGAGGGTACAGGGGCTTTTATGAGCACTTTGTTTGCTAGAGGCTTTTATACCGGAAGCCCTTTTACCTGAAGCTGAATTTTGAGATGCAGGCCGCAGCCAGAAGAGGGCAGCAGAGAGGCAGCTAGGGGACGACTGTGAGCTCTTACTGGAGGCCGGTAAATTGAGAAGAATTAGGATTATGATGTTAGTGAGAGTTTTTCCTCCCTCCCTCCCTTCCTTTTAAGATTATTCTATCTAAAGGGCATTTTTTTGTTCCTACCTTTTTGGTATTCAGATAATTTTTTCTGTAATGATGGTGGCTCACAATGTTTAACAATAATTAACATAGCTTATTAATTGCTCACTCTATCTCAGTCACTGGTCTAAACCTTTACCTGTATTTACTCATTTAATCCTCAATTACCCTAACATGATAGGCTCTATTATTATCTCCATTTATAGATTAAAAATTGAAGCACAGACGGATTAAGTAACAAGCCCAAGGTCACATAGCTGGGACATGATGGAGCTGGAATTCTAATTTATGGCAGCGGAACCACGACAAGCCATGTAAATAACGATGTAGGCGGGAACAGCAGTGACCTGGTAGGCGTACACCCCCTTGCGGGGCAGCTGAGCCCCAGATGGTCTTGTCATGTAGGAATGTGAGTCCAGAGTCCACTGCCCCTCAATCATGCTGAAATCTCGATTTTTAATGTGATAGCTCTCAATCTTTACATGTTGGCTAATGGTTCATGTATAAAAAGATATAGACATAAGCAAAAACTCATTGTAAGCTGCCTCACCAACTTGTGACCTGTGGGTGGATGTTGGCATTTTTTTCTCCTAAAAAAAATTAAGATTTAGTAAACTGAAAACATGGTCTCATTTGCTTAATTAAAATACCCCCCCCCCAACACAAACCCTGTTGGTCTGCGGAATCCCTGCATCTGGGGCCCCCCTGTCCACAGAGTGTGGGAAGCTCCACAGGCTCCCCGCAGGCGAGGCTGGGATGCCTGAGGGGGGGGCGCCACGGGCAGGAGGAGCACATGTTGGCAGCAGTGCCAAGGAGCCTGCAAACTTGTTTCAAGACAAGAATCCTCCTGTCTCTGAGGCTGCTTTCTCCGTCAGCAGATGCGCAAAGAGCAGATGGTAAGATCTCTTCATAATTAGGCTCTGGAATGTGCTGATATTTGGAAACTCAGGAAGAGTATGGTTTAAAAATTTCCAGGTCAGGAATAATCTGCCCATATTTTACATATTATCTTAAAAATTCCACACTACTCGTAGTCTTTTGTGCCTCCCTTCCATGCCTTCCTGCCCCTTTCTCCAATCTGGAAAAAACACAGGAGACTCGGGTCCTGGTCCTGCCACTAACGTGCTGGGTGGCTGCCGACAGGCCCTGTGGCAGTCTCTCTGCCAGGAGATTAGAGCCCTGGTCCCAGCGACCTTGCAAGGCTGCTTGGAGGTAGTATGAAAGGCATTCAAAACATAAACTTCTGTCCAAAAAGCTGGCCTCCCTGACAGAGCTAATAACCCTCGTCTTCTGGCTCCCCATCCAGCGTGCTGGTCACTGAGATGCACGGCCTCTATCAAGACACCACTTCCGCTTTCTCTCCCCACGCAGATCTAGGAGATGCTGCCTGGAGCCTGGCTGCACTGGGCCTGCCTCCTGCTCCTGGCCAGGCTCGCCCAGCCCTGCCCTGTGGGGTGCGACTGCTTCGTCCAGAAGGTGTTCTGCACGGACAAGGCGCTGGCCACCATCCCGCTGGACATCCCGCCCCATGTCACAGACATGGTCTTCGTAGAGACCTCATTCCCCATGGTTGGAGCCAGAGCCTTCAGTGGCAGCCCTAACCTAACCAAAGTAATATTCCTCAACACCCAGGCCTACCACTTTGAGCCGGACGCCTTTGGTGGGCTGCCCAGGCTCCAGGACCTGGAGATCACAGGCAGCACTTTTTCCAATCTCAGCGCTGAGACCTTCTCCAACCTGACTTCGCTGCGCAAGTTCACTCTCAACTTCAACATGCTGAAGGCTCTGCCCGAGGGCCTCTTCCACCACATGGATGCCCTGGAGTCCCTCCAGCTGCAGGGCAACCGGCTCCAGACCCTACCTGGGAGACTCTTCCAGCCTCTGAAATGCCTGAAGACCCTCAACCTTGCTCAGAACCTCCTGGCTCAGCTACCCGAGGAGCTGTTTGATCCCCTTGGCAGCCTGCAGGCCCTGAGGCTGAGCAACAACGCACTCTCCAGCCTGCCCCAGCACGTGTTCGCCAAACTGGGCAGCCTGCAGGAGCTCTCCCTGGATGGCAACTCCATCTCGGAGCTGCCTCCAGAAGTGTTCTCGCGGCTCTTCTGCCTGGAGAAGCTGTGGCTGCAACGCAATGCCATCAGGCACCTGCCGCTCTCCATCTTCTCCTCCCTGGGCAACCTGACCTTCCTGAACTTACAGGGGAATGCGCTGCAGATGCTGCCCGCGGGCCTCTTTGCCCATACCCCGGGCCTGGTTGGCTTGTCCCTGTCCCACAACCAGCTGGAGACTGTCTCCGAGGGAGCCTTTGCCAAATTGTTCAACCTCAGTTCCCTTACGCTCTCACACAACGCCATTACCCATCTCCCGGCCAGCATCTTCAGAGACCTAAAGGAATTGACCAAGCTCTACCTGGGCAGCAACAATCTGACGGCCCTGCACGCGGGCCTCTTCCAGAACCTGTCCAGGCTCGAGCTGCTCAGCCTTTCCAGGAACCTCCTGACCACGCTCCCAGAGGGCATCTTCGACACCAACAACAACCTGTTCAACCTCGCCCTGCACGGCAACCCGTGGCAGTGTGACTGCCACCTGGCCTACCTCTTCACCTGGCTGCATGAGTACAGCGACAGGCTCTTCAACACCCAGACCTATTGCGCGGGTCCTGCCAATCTGAAAGGCCAGGTGGTGCCTGCTTTGACGAAGGAGCAGCTGGTGTGCCCTGTCACCTGGGACCACTTGGATTGGCAGGCCCCAGGGCTGGAGGACAGGGAGCCACGGAGCAGCTGGGATCTGTCCGCAAAGGAATGGGCAGGCCGGAAACGGTGCACCTACAGCAATCCCGATGGCACTGTAGTGCTTGCGTGTGATGAGGCCCAGTGTCGCTGGCTGAATGTCCAGCTGTCTCCTAGGCAGGACTCGGGCTCCCCAGGAATGACGTACAATGCCACTCAGGAGTGGGAATTGAAGTCGAGTTGCGGCACTGTGAGGGTGGCTGTGTCTATTGAGGCTCAGGCAAGGGAGCCCTAGGAGCAGGGTGCACAGAGCCAGGAGCTGGGGCACATGGTTTCTGGGGTCTGGCCAGGCAGGAGGTGGGGGCAGAGGGGACAATGAAGCTGGGTTTTCAGGTGCAAAGGATGGAGGTTCTGTGTCTGCAGTGGAGGAAGGAGACGTGGCCAAGGGCCTCCTCCTCCTCTCCTCGTCCTTCGTTAACCCTCTCACAGTCTGAGACATAACATGGCCTTTCTTAAGCTTGGCAAAGCACCCATTAAAGCTGTATCATGGTCTGGAGGATAAAATAAGACTACTCCCCTGGTGTTTGTTTTGTTGGGTTTTTTTTTAAGATTTTATTTATTTATTTTTAGAGAGGGGAAGGGAGGGAGAAAGAGAGGGAGAGAAACATCAATGTGCAGTTGCCTCTCATGCCCCCTACTGGGGACCTGGCCCGCAACCCAGGCATGTGCCCTGATTGGGAATCAAACCAGTGACCCTTTAGTTCACAGGTCGGCACTCAGCCCACTGAGCCACACCAGCCAGTGTGACCCTGGTGTTTTTCTGTAATTTAATTCCCACCCCACTCTCATCCCCACCCTGAAGTTCCAACGCTTAGGTGCTATTTTACAAAATGGAGGCTACCCTTTTTAACACCCAGTTCAAAGGCCAATGTCTCTTTCTAAGTCTCCCCATGGAAGTTTGTTTTTAATGGATATAGGTGGTGATAGAAGCAGAGATGCCCAGAATGATTAGGGACAATGGTCTGACTTTGGTGTGTTGGGAACTCACGGCATGAGCTTCTCCTCTAGGGCTGCTTCCGGAACTCAAGAAGAAAGACACCGTCCTGGCCGGTGTGACTCAGTTGCTTGGAGCATCGTCTCACAAACCGAAAGGTGGCTGTTTCAATTCCTAGTCACGGCACATACCATGTTGCAAGTTCGATCCCCGGTTATGGCATGTATGAGAAGACAACCAATGGATTTTTCTCTCTCATGTTGATGTTTCTCTCACTCTTCCTCTAAAAGCAATGGGGGGAAAAATTCTCAGGCAAGGATTAAAAAAAAGAAAAAAGAAAGTTTCCTTGGGAAGGTCAATACCACTTAGTTGGCTTTCATTACACAAAGCTCCCAGAAGGGGCTCTGTGGCTGTGTCTGTTCAGCAGACAAGATGGCTGTTCCCTATGTTGAAAGAAAAGCGCTGAGAAAGGAGGGGAGGACAGTGCGCTGGGTGGCCTGGGGCAGACGTGCTTCAGTCTTAGCTTCCTCAGCATGTGACTCTGCAGCGGTCAGTCACAGCAATTCCTTCCCCTTGGTTTTCAGGACACCACCCTCTTACTCAGCCTCAGCTGTTCTTTCAGGCTTCCCCAGCCACCTATCTCTTCCACGTCTGCCTCCTCAGGGTGCACTGTCATTGGCCTTCTTGGGCAATCGCATGCATGCCCCTGGCATCGGATGCCACTTTGATGCTGATGACCCCAAATCTCCATCTCAGGCTCAGGTCTTTTTGGCCCCTGTCCAGAGATATCCACCTGCTCAGCAGCCCTGGGTTCTGTCATCACAGCCACAAACACGTCACGACCAAACTCTGTTTCCTGCTCCTCCTGGAGGCCCATCCAGCAAATACCAAGCCCAGGAGTGGGGAATGTTCTCCAGTCTCTCCTCCCCTTAACCCTCATGGCCAACTAATCAAAAATTGCCTCTGAGTATCCCTCCTTCCACGTCCCTGTTCCAATTCACAGCTCAAGGAGGAGGTGCTTTGTCTCCCGGCACTGAGTCAACTTGCAGCCTCCTACCTGGTTTTCCTGCCTGCAGAGTGGGCTGGCCTGGGTGAAATGCTGGGGTGGGAGAAGAAGAAATGAATCAAATGTATAGCAGGCCCTCCAGGAGCCTGAGCTCCGGAGGGGGGTATCAGACGAGGGCACGTGGGACAAAAACACAAGCTTAACGTGTTCAGTGCTGGGCAAGCCCTGAGGAGTTCAGGGGAGGTGGAGGCCGGGGCGAGCACAGGCCTTCGGGGAGGCTGCATTTGATCCCAGGCCTTGAGGGGTCACAAGCAGAGCAAGGCGGGCAGTGAAGCTATGTGCAAGAAGAGCCAAGGGATGGAGACAGGTGAGCGGTGCGGTCAGGGCTGTGGGCGTCCGGAGCAGGCTACTGCTGGGAGAGGGAGGAGGAGAGAGGGTTGGAAAGCCAGCTGGAGCCAAATTCTCTAAGGCCTTGGAGATCCAGGTGAGACGCTCGTGTATTTATGAAGGATGCCCGTCAGTGATGGAAGGACTTTATGCAGAGCAGGTCCACACTCCTGCCCGTGCTTTAGACGGCTGGCTGAGTGCAGTCTGAGGACAGCAAGAGGCAGGGAAAACGACGAGGACTGTCCTGTGACCTGAGGTCAGAGCCACAGGGCCAGGGACACTAAGGAAATGGAATGAAAGGTTTCAGTGCTGGAGTAGCACATATACAGAAGGATTAAAAAGCCTAAATGTGAACTACTGAGATGTGAATTCAAATGGCATAGGTGCCACTTTGCACCGACGAATCCTACAAAAATGAGAAGGCTGGATCATGTCCAGCCTGGGGCAGGCTGTGGGCACGGGGGGCCCTCCGGGTGCTGCAGGTGGGCACGGTCTCTCCAAGGACACTGGTTTCTTGCCTGGGTGGCAGGGAGGACAGTGAAGCCAGTAACCAAAGGCAGGAGCAGGTTTGAGGAAAGGAAGGAGCAAGATGCCAGCTTCAAAGAAAGTATACTTCACCATCTCAGGTGACGATGAGCTCTTTAAAAAAACATGCTGCCTAAGGCTCACATCAATTCAATTCTAAGTTTAGCAGGTTTGCCAAAGGAACAGACGCTCTCTCTGATTCATTTGGTTCAATTCCCAAAAGCATTTGGTTTAAGAATAACTTTGACCAGATCCTTCCAAGGTTGGGGAACTTGGCCTCCCTGGGATGGCCGAGGCCCTGAGCGGCAGAGGGTTCTGTAACTGGCCCCCAGCCTGTGCTCGCTCTCTCTGGCCAGGCAACACAGGCTGCATTAGGCTGCTGGCCTCCAGCTGCGTGTGAGGCCCGCTGTCTGCAGGAAGGGGCTCCACACCCAGCACACAGAGGCGCTTCACAGATCTCTAGCTCATGGTCCAGATAGTTACGTGTCCACTGCCAGGGATAAATGAATAAGATGATTGAGCAACATTTCTGTTCATTATATTTCCCCCCAAGTATAACTCTTTATTAAGTGAAAATACAATAATTTGTCTCCGTGCCAAATGGTGCTGGGGAAGGAGCACTGGCCAACAGCCAGGGCTTGTGTCGCCCGGGCTAGGCAAGGCCAGGGTCACAGTGCTCTTTTGGAGAGCTTTGCCGGATTTAATATAGAAACGTATGTCTATTGCATGGGACATACATATACTAAAATCTATTCATAGTTTATCTGAAATCCAAATTTAACTGGGCAGCCGGTATTTTATCTGGTGACTCAAAGACCTGATGAAGGTAGAGAAACACGATGAGGTGGAGGTGAGGGTGTTGGATGGTCCTCCTCAGGGCTCGGGGGATGGGAGCCCTGACCACTCAGCGGGGCATTGCGATCTTAAGGTTGGAGCTGACAGGAAGCAGGAGGCACTGAGCACCCCCTGGCAGGTGGGGCTCCTTGCCCATTGCCTTGAATGTCCCAGTGTTCTTCAGGGATTGTCTGCCGCTTGCCAGCAAGGTACCATTGGCCCAGTTACTCAAGTTCTCTGTGCTGCAGTTGCCTCTTTCATACTGTTTATCGTGGGTGTAATAGTACCCAGCTCACAATCTTACTGATGAAGAGAAAATATGCGCATTCTTGTAAAGAACTCAAAACAAAGACAATGGTACATTCTTAAAAAATAAATGTTATGATCTCACCTATAAGTAGGACCTAGTGAACAAAACAAACAAGCAAGGAAACTATGGTTTCCAGCAACTTTGAAAGAAAAAAAGAAACCGACAGTAACAAGAGGGAAGGAGGGTAACAGGGAAAAGAAGGGGAAGGGTCAAATCAAGGAACATGCATAAAGCACCCATGGACAAAGCCAAGGTGGGGAAGGATTGAGGGTGGGAGGTGGGGGTGGGTGGGGCAGGGGAACGATGTAGTGGGAAAATGGAGACAAATGTATTTGAACAATAAAAAAAAGAAACTAAAAAAATGTAATGTTATTTATTACTGTTGTTATTATTTCTGGAGAAGTGTGGTGGGTGTTGGGAGAGGAAAGAACTAGGCAATTGCTTGGCCATCGCATTTCTTTGTCTGTTTCATTTGGTGTTCCTGGGAGGATGTTAAAATTGCGTTGCAATATCAAAATTGTATTATTTGGGAGGATTGGAAATGCCATTGACAAATTTCTTCAGTGCTAACAGTGGATATTGGAAAACTGGACGGTGCTACCAAAGATTAGACCATTTAGCACAACGGAAGTCCCAAATGAGTTCTTTCTCACGCTGCCTTTAGCTAGGAGACACAGACATTTTTCATTTAGTATTTCACAAACCTGCGACTGTTTCGGTTCTGGGTCTCCGGCGCCCCCTTGTGGCACCCTGGGAGAACGGCTCTCCTCGGCAGGAATAATAATCCTCAGCGAAGCGACGCCGCGCTTTGCTCTTAGGAAGTCACAAAGGGGTCTCCCAGACAGGACAACCAAGCGCATCGACGCTTCCGGTAGGCGGGCGGAGCTGCCGAGGCTCTGTCTCCTGCAACTCTGGAGACGTGGCGGGCCCGCCGGGTGCCCGCGGCTGAAGGCGGCCAGTGCGCAGGCTGAGGTCCTCACCAGGTGGCACCGCCACCTCGCCGCGTTCGGATACGCCGGTACTGTCTCGTTTGTCCTCGAGATGCTGCAGGTCCTGGAGGGGGCGCGGGGTGGGGGCGCGGGACACGCTGCAGCGCAGGGAGTGGTCAGACACTGCGTTGGGTGGAATCTCGGCCTTTGGCAATGAGCTCCGCCTTGAAACGACCCTCGAGGTACAAGCCACAGTTGTCTTGGTGTCTTAGTGTCCAGGACCACACTGTAGCATATACATTTCTGGAAGATTATGCTTTGCTTTCTTTGGAATTTTATCAAGAGTTGTTTAGCGTTTGGGTAAATCTTTCCCCCTTTGGGAAGGCTTCAACCTTATTTTCAAAAGCCAAATACAAAGGAAAGATAACTTCAAGTCATTCTGTACTCTTAAATTCATCCTTTACCCATCTTTTACCAAGTCTCTCGTGAGGTCTTAGCCAAGCAATTGCAGGTGGAAATGAGTTTTTTTAAATCCATTTAATTTCTAATTTATTACAGTTAGAATATTTAGTTTTAAAATTCTGTGAGATCTGATAATATTATCTGAAATTTATTTTAGGAGACCGAAGGGGTGTTAGGATTATTTGCTATAAAAAGGGTGTTGGATCTGTCAGCAAGGAGACCCCCTGTAACAGAAGGAGCAAAAGCGAGGTGTCCAGGTCTCCAGAGAGATAGAGCCAGTAGAATTTATAGAGAGAAATATAGGGGAGATTTATTAGAGGACCTGACTCACAGAATTACAGAGGCAATAAGTGCCATGAGGTGCCACCCACAAAGTGAGAACCAGAAAGTCGGTGGGAGCCCCAACGCCTGGGAACCAGGGGCCCCGGAGGGCAGAGAAGGTGGATGTCTGGGCTGAAGCAGAGAGGGCAGGTTGGTCCTTCCTCTGCCTTTTTGTTCCATCCTGGCCCTCAGGGGGTTGGATCATGCGCACCTGCCTTGGTGAGGGGGATCTTCGCTCAGGTCTATGGATTCAAATACCATTCTTTTCAGGAAACACCTTCACAGACATACTCTCCAAGGGATGCTCGCCTGGCCTGGGAGACAGTGGACACCTGGGGGCGGGTCCAGCCGGAGTCTAGGCTCTCAGACCTCTGGTGGCAGCTAGGCTTCTGGGTCGCTGTGGCCTTCTAGCCCGACCCCTCAGGAACTGCGCCCTGGTTGTGCCTGGGAAGCTCAGCTCCCTCCCTCCTGAGGCAGCCCAGCCTTCCCCGGGCATCAGGGACTGGCCCTGGGAGCCGCCCTGTACCCTTCCTGCCGGCCTCACCAAGGGGCCACCCCTGTCTGTGCAACAACAGCCCTTAAGAAGCGGAAGCAGCCTTCAGTCCCCTCAATCACCCAGCCCTCCCGCCGTCCCGACTCCAGCCCCACACCCCCAGCTTCAGCTTCCCACAGGCTGCTGCTCCTCACAAGGTGCGGTCTTCTAGAAGCCACTGCCTGAAGGCTGTGTCCTCTTCCTCCTGTGCGTGGAGCACCTTCCTGCAGGCCTGGGCTCTGGGGATTGGGGCCAATGGCCCCAGGGCAGCCAGGAAAGCCGTTTCCCTTGATGCCTTTGTCTGAAAAGTTTCATCCACCACGGACTCCAGGGTGTTTTTATTTTTCTCAGAATAACATGGCTGGCCTGCCTGTGTCCTTTGCTTCCAATCCTGTAGAACACATTGTCCCAACAACAGCTTTTCCTTGTCAAGCTGGATTTCACAGAAATTCCAGAGGCTCTGGGGCCAGCCTTCATAGAGGTACTTCATGGTCGAGGACATTCCTGTTGTTGTGTGGGGAGTGTTCCTGCTCCCGCAAGATTGAAAAAATTGGAATTTGTGCAGCATTTGCCCAAGACCTTTGCAGCGGCCACACTGACTGTCCAGAAGGCCAGGTGTGCCTGGTGTTTCCAGAGGCACCACCTTCACCCTGAGGCCCATCTCTAAGGTGCTCAGACACCACCCGGCCAGCTGCAGAAGCAGAGACTCAGTCTTGACAGTGACAGATAAGGCAGGAAGAGACCTTGAGAGTTGGAGAACTGTTATACAATACTGACCCTTCTTTCTTGCCCAGGGGACCAGGGTGCTAGCTGACCTTTGTGTCCTCAGCAGAGAGAGAGAGAGCACTGCGGTCCCTGAGAAAGTCTTTCAGAGATTATCCCGCTGACACCCTTCCACCAGCAGAAGCCAGACTGAGGGACCACCCCTCAGGATTCAGGACAAGCTATTGTACCTGGTTGAATTGAGTGTTCAGGATTGTGGTGCCAAGTTTTTCTAGAAACTCCTTGAAGTGGAAATGGTGAGTTTGGAAAGCAACCTCCCTGGGACGCTCTCCTCTCCTGCCTTCTTTGGGTCAGTCATGTGCATGCAGGGACAATTGGCTCCAGCTCACTGAGACACTCCCAGCCCTGTCCTACAGCACGGCTCTCCCAGGTGTGGGCTAGGCGGGACTCCTGACAGCTCTGTGCTTCTGCCAAATCTCCCTCAGTCAAGAAGCTGGTTTCTTTCTTTCTTTCTTTCTTTCTTTTTTAATTTACTTCTTAGAGAGAGGGGAAGGGAGGGAGAGAGGAAGGGAGGGAAAAAAAATCAATGTGTGAGAGATACATCAGTTGGTTGCCTCTTGAACACCCCCAGCTGGGGATCCTGGTCTGCAGCCCAGGCATGTGCCTGACTGGGAATTGAACCTGCAACCTTTTGGTTCACAGGTTGTCACCCAGTCCACTGAGCCGCACCAGCCAGGGCAAGAAGCTGGTTGTTTCTCATAGCCAGGTTTCAGCTCTGCCTTGGGGAGTCATGGATTTGGGAAGCTAAGATTTCAGCACAGAGGCCAATTATATCACCTCTTTAGAGGGAATATGTCTTCTTCTCTTGCAAAATCTGAAGAGTCTCTCTCAGCAGTCGCTGAAGTGGTAAGCTTGTCCCAAAGCTGCTGCATCCCTATCTGACCTCTCATCCATGACATTCCTCCTCCGGTGGCTCCAAAGGATCCCAGGTGGGTAGAGTTGTCAGCACCTCGCTGCCATCCTTGTGCAACAACTCAGGGGCCTGCTTTGCTTATAGATGGCCTCGCTGAGGCTGTGCCATCCTCAGGAGCATTAAATCATCACCGACGACCACCCCAACAATCACCTCCCCCTGCAGCCCACCACACTGAGCCTCCTACCACATCCTCATCAGCCTCCTCTGTGCGAACTCCACCTCGCAAACCACACAAAGCAACCCCCACACCCCAGTGACCTCAACTTTAACTCTCTTATCACCTGCCCCCATGCCCAGAATACCAGCCTGTGAGGTCTTCCTATCATTGGCTCAGAGCCCAGGCCCCGCTGGCATCTACTTCCTTCTCTCTGGACTTCCAGACCCCCTCCAGCAGGGGGCGCACCACCACCAACAGGAGGGGCTGACCTCCAAGAAGGGACTCCCATTCACTGTGTCCCGGGAGGTCCTGCAGCCAAGGCCTCTGTCTGCCCCGCTTTACCTTCCCTGCAGCGAATCCCCATGTGCTTCTGCTCACCCTGTTCTCAGCAGCACAGCAAACGCTCAGAGAGAGCTCTACTGACCTCCGAGCCTCCCTCCCCACCCCCAGCACCGCTCCCAGGGCTTTGGTGGGGGAGGGGCGATTAAGGTCAACACACTTGCTGCAGTTTGTTCTTGCACCTGTACCTGAAGATTGGGACTTTCGTCATCTTCGCCATATGAGCCATCAACCAGAGCACCGAGCGGCCTGCCCCTGTGCCCTCGAGGCTGAGAAAGTTGCCAGGGAGGTAGGCGAGCCCAGATCAAAACTCCTCCCCTGTGAGAAACCCCATCAAGTCACCCTGAAGCCAGTGGGGACACACAGCGACGCTGCCACAAGAGGAAACATGTGACTCAGGAGAGGAAAAGGGACCTCTGTCTTAGACTTGGAGGCTGAATAGGGGCAATCTGTGTTCAATCCCTACACCGATTCTATTTTTGTTCTGAAATCTGTGTGCCGGCCATCCTCCTTTGGTATACGATCATTGTTTTGACATCTGTGAGGCTGGCAAACTTGTGATGTCTTTGGAATCTTAAAAAATGGGATCTATGAAGTTGGCATATCCCAATAAACAGCGAGCCAAACGCCTGAGGGCCTCCGCAGTGTGTATCACTAGACCTACTGGGTTCATGCACCAACACATCCCATGTTTAAATCAAAGTGTAAGAACTCATTCATACAAAAGTTCACCATCTAACCACTACACCTCCAAATGAGAGCTCTTAGCCGGGAAAAAATAAAAACGTCTCCCAAGCAGCCATCATCAGTTTCCAGGG